CGAAAAAAACATGTTTTTGCCATCCCGACACACAGCTGGCGCCAACAGTAATTATTCATTCGGACTGGGACAGGCAGCCAGGTGTGTGCTGTTAGCGTGACAATCCCAAATCCAAACAGGTAGCCGACAACGGAGACGATCCGGTCCGCAAGGTCGTCAGTCGTGACAACACTAGCTTGACCTTTCGGTCTCACAATGTCCGCCCGCCCGAGCCATGCCACCGTGCAAAAGTAGGACCCGAGGCTTGAAAGCAACGCCGCCTGGTCTGATATTTCGGCCCATCGCACGCGCCCGTGGCCAGCCTAAAACTGCATGCTGCTAGATGGGCCACGGAGGCTTGGTCCTACTAATAACGACTCTACCCTAGCAACCCAATCTTATCTTACCCAAATGAAAACGGCCCTCCCAGCACAAAAACGGCCCTCCCATGAACGTGCATGCAGATCGCAGGGAAGCAAAGAAAGGGGCCCGGTTACTTCTGTCCGCGGGTGGTGCACGCAACTTGTTGTGAGAACGCAAGCTCAACATTGTCCTAGTTGCAAGGCTGCATTCATTTGTGACTTTGTGTTGGGTGGTTCGCCTGAACCAATCCAAATATGGTTTGGTACCTAACGAGATCAGATGCGCCTCCTAAATTTATACACCCGGCCCTGCCATCATCAACTTGCCTTGGCAGAACTTAGCAAGTCACCCATGTTAACTTCCGGCGCTGCTTACTTTAATTAGACGGGCATTGCCCAGGTTCTGTGCTGGCTACTCAGGGTAGCAACAGCTCAAGTGGAAGTCATCCTCATCTCACACCAGCAATTAGTAGACTGCTAGCTAACGGTTACTATTACTGTGTGTGAAATGTTAGAAGGCTTACGGTGATGTAGAGGTCGAACTTGATGAGGGCGTAGGCAGTCCAGCAGATGCCATTGACGAGCGAGGCCACGGACAGGAACAGGGGCATGTACTCCACGCTCTTGGTCTGGATCACCATTTTCTGAAACACAAACACGGGAAAAATCAACATGATGATGATGAACAATACTCCACGAAAGGAAATCCATCCATTTTACAGCCAATTGATTGTGCTGTACTGTACAATTCATCCAAAGAAAACATGCAGTCAAACGGAAACAACTTCCCTCTACACGCATTAACCAGATTGTGAAGCACAAAAACTACCAAGGAAACGACAGCATGTGAGATGGCACAACTTTTGTTTTGTTTGGGATGGGAGGACTAAAAAAGTGTTTCATATAAGAGAAAAAGCCCTGAAGAATTTTAACGAAAAGTGCAACGGGCACAAGTTGTTAATTACAGTTGGATCAAAAAGTGAAGGATGAACAAAAATAAGATGAGTTTTTCCTTTCTGACAGCAAAAGAACATGAGTTTTTCCTCTCTCTTTTGACAGCAAAGGGACAGGAGTTGATTTGACGCCATGATTGGAAACACTGCACCTACGTAATACGTATATATTTTTTCTTCACAAAAAGAATATTTGCGCTGTTCAAAGTAGATAGCGAGATAGCCGAAAAGAATACAGCTACTGCTAGATAGAGAGAAAACGACAGGATTACGCATGCGTGTACTCGCGTATTCTATTCTCCACCCAGAACGTACCCAGAGCAGACGTTGGTCAATCAAATTAGTATAGATTAATCCAGCGTTCTTTTCCTATGGTTATTCTCATTCGAACAGCAGTTAATTAATCATTTCCTCGCCTGATCGATCTCCTGACACCGACAATCACCTACTAGTACTAGTGTAACACTGAAATCAATCAATAAAAAACTAGAGTAGCACCAAATCTCACTCCAGTACTGTACTGGTTTGTAGGTGAGACCGTGAGAGTGATGGCGACGCGTACCATGACGGAGAGCGGCGCGGCGTACATGCCGGTGCCGAAGAGGACGCAGAGGATGCCGACGACCATGGACCTGCGGTCGTGGGTGTGGGCGAGGGAGAGGACGAGCGCGGCAACCCCGCCGACGAAGGCGACCTCGGCGACCAGCAGGAGGAGGACTCGGCGGCGGGCGGCGCCGACGGAGAAGGTGAGGAAGAGCGCGACGTAGGTGAGCTCGATGAGCATGCCGGTGCCGTTGATGGTGATGACGAGCATGCTGTGCGGGTGCACCAGCGGGAGCCCGTAGAGCACCCACATCATGCAATTCAGCAGCGTCGCCAGGTACGGCACCGCCGAGTACTGCTCCACCGTCTTCTTCTTCCAGATTTGGATGAACGTCGGCCTGGAATTCGCAGTTCGCAAGTATTTTCACTGGTCAGGCATTTTTTCGAAGAGATATCCAAACTATTTCGATCAGAAAACGGAATACAAAATTATTGCGGTGCCGATCTCCGCATTCTCATGAATTTGTGTCATGTAATTCTCGCTCTTTGCTCAGCACAATTAATTCCGGAAATCCATTTTATCCGGCGACTTAAATGAAGATACACTTATATTTAAGAGTGGTATAGTTTTAGTCGGTGCTTACACTGGGGATAGGAAGAGCACCAAGGCGGTTCCATTGCCTGCAAGGGAGACACAAAACAATCCCAAAAAAAGCAACATCAGAAGTAGATCTCGGACGATGAACAAACAAACGCAAAGGAGGAACCGCCGAACAAATCACGGTTCGGGCCGCTCTAGGGAAGCCGGCGCGTGATGCTCGCTTGCACTAGAAGGGAGCAAAAGTTCGTGAAGAGGACACGCGCAAAGCGGCGAGAAACAAAAAGAGCATCAGGGGGCAACAGCAGCACCCCCCGTACGACCCGTGTGGCGCCGCTGCCACATGGTTTTCGCTGCAGTGCAGGCGCACATGCGTATGCGGTACAGAGGCGGGGGGGCGTGGGGCGACGGGGAGGCACGCACCTATGACGCCGATGACGGTGCGGATAGCGTCCGGCGACACCATGGTGGCGTGGCTTCCGGCGAGAGGTAACCGCACCGAGGAACTGATCTAGAGGAGCGTCTCGGGTGCAGACGAGAGGGAGGGGGAGAGTGGAACGGATTTCTGGACTTGGGAGGGGAGGGGCAGGGGGCAGGGAAGGATGCAAGTACAGCGGACCCTCTCCCTCTGTCTCTGTGCGTTGCGTTTGATGAGTGAATGATCTCAGGAAAACACCGAACGGGGTCCTTAAATAGAGCGGGGCTGCTGGCCCGTGGGCCCCGCACCGTCGTCCCCATCTCTATCTCTATCCGGCTCTCTCTCTCATGGACGCCGCGCCGGCCTTTTGCATACGCCTCTTTCTCTCTCTCTGTGTGTGTTTCTCTCTCTATAACTATCCCGATGTGCTGTGGCCCAGCAGCCAGCCGGGTGGGTTGGTCATACTTTCCTTTTTCTTTTAGGATTTTATTTTGATATAAAATGGCGGGTTGCTCATACTGATCATTTCGACTTTGGTAGACATTCACATTCTTGATCCAGGAGCAACCCGCTGGGCAACAATAGTGTTTTGGTTGCCTGCAACCATTTTGGCTTCTTTTACCCTTACTTGCCGTTTGATTGATCCTGACTGAGATAATGCAAACTCTATTCTGCATTTTGTTTGGCTAACTGCACAGCATCACGAGATTGTTTCGTCCATGCTGCTTGGTTGACCGCCCTGAGCATTATGCTTGTGAAGATGCAATTACACGATGTTAGGTTGCTCCGGGGCGAATGTTGTGGTCATCCCTTCTCACGAGTGGTGATTTTACCACATTATATAGATAGGCAGTATCAGACTAATATCATTTCAATCCTGGCTATTAACAAATGACAGTTCATCAGTTCGTCTTAACTACTAACAAATGGCCACTCGTCTTAACTACTAGCAAATGACAATGGCGGTACCAGATTAACAGTCATATGGCTCAATGTGGGAAAGTTCGTCAATGTCGTTCAAGAGGGAAGTTCATCATCCTCGTCCTTTTCTTTTTTTAGATATTTGAGATACCTTTGTTAGCCCACATTGCGTTAATCCACTTCAACCTTTTGCTCTTACAAGTTTCACTTTCATGTGCCTCCACACCATCGTCGGATTCAATATCGTTAGTCGTCGCATCTTTCTCTTTCGCCACATACTCAACAAGACTTCATTCTAAGATCTAGTCATCAAGAATGCAGTATGTAACAGAACCTCCAGATTGATCCACCCCACTTTCGACATAGGCGTAGTGTCGGTTTATAGGACTCTACGGTTGGCGTTTTGTCGGTTCTGTTTTCATTTTTTTTGCCAGACTTTTCGGGATTGGCTGTGTGCATCCTAACTATGCAGAGGCCGGGTATTCCCACTCTTACCTCTAGAACTAGCTGATATATCGATGATGATCATCTTTTCTAATCAATGGCATTGTGGAAGTAACAAGGATGCCCGCAATAATGAGAACACATTGTTAGATGGAACGATGGTGTTGAATAGAACCAACTTATGAAATATTGTGTGATCACATCGTTTAATTTTTGTTATCGGTAATTACAAACAAAGTGTTAAGGTTTACTCACGGCATTAGACCGGATGATTATTTTGGGGTTGCCAAACGTCACACCTTAACTGTGTGATCATCTCTATTACAAAAGGGGAGTTAGTCTTTGTATGTTCGCCTTCACCCCTGCCCCTCTCCTGTTATGTTCCCTCCTGTGTGCCACCCCTCCCAAATGTCTTGCATTAACTCAATCAAATCAAATTACATCTTATCAAAATCTCAACTAAATCAAAACTTTAATTGCGTTCCTTTACCCATATCCAAATCAAATCAAATCCTATCAAAGTCTCAACTAAATCTAAATTTTCCTTGTGTTCCCCTACCCATATACAAATCAAATCAAATCTTATCAAAACCTCAACTAAATCAAAATTCTTTGTGTTCCCTACTCATATCAAAATCAAATCAAATCTTACAAAATCTCAACTAAATGAAAACCTTCCTAGCCTTCCCCTACCCATACTCAAATCAAATCAAATCATACCAAAATCTAGAATATGGTGGGTGTAAGGTTTGTGTCGGGCATGATTGTTGTTGATCTATTAGAATATGTATGCCCCAGTTGCAACACACGACCAATTAGCTAGTCTCTACTATTAAAGTGGAGTTGCTAGGTTCCCCTCACTCCCTCCGCGGGTTTTTCCTCCCAACGGCCCTTGTATTTTCTGTTGATTTTTTGATAATTTCAACCGGTGCCGCATAAAGAAAATAAAGTAACTTGGAATAATTTATATGGAACCAGTAATTTCCTAAAATCACATCCTACGTTAACTCAATCAAATTAAATTGAATCTTATAAAAATCTCAACTAAATCAAAAAAATCTTGCCTTCTCCTACCCATACCCAAACAAAATCAAATCTTACCAAGACCTCAGCTAAATCAAAACATTCCTTACCTTTACCTAACCATACTCAAATCAAATTAAATCCTACCAAAACCTAAAATAAGGTGGCTGTAAAATATATGTCGGACAAGGTTGATGTTGACTCACTAGAATATGTATGCCCCATAGCAACACACAGTCGATTAGCTAGTAAAGGTAACTTACAGGTATACCAAAAAAGTATATCACAGTGCTCGATAGTTCAAGACCGGGATTTGCTCCTCCGGCAATGGAGAGATACACATTGGCCCCACTTAGTATTACGGTATCCATTATCGTCTCACCAGACATAATGATGGTGATCATTGGGGGTACCATAATGCAGAAAGAAGAAAAGAGAACAAAACCGGTAATGATGATAGCGATAAAAGTCTCAGATTGGGTCTTGTAATGTTTCGCGTACCAAAGGGATTTGTAAGTGGTAACTTAAAAAGGTTCGCTCGATAAAGATCATCGTGAATATGTGGGAATTATCAAGGGTGTCCAGATCCCCTATTAGTTATTGGCCGGAAGGATACTTTGAAGTAGTAGTCTACCTCAACACTAGATCAATGATCGTCAAGAACCCCTAAAAAACGATCGTCAAGAGAAGTTGTTGCGGTTGGGAGGTTTAACCTAGCTCCCAAAAATTGTTGGCCTTCACCAACAATCTACTCTGCTCCCACTATGTTTTGTTGGTGAGACTGATCGTTATCCGCATCTTCATAATGATCAGGGCTTGTTTGTGCTAGGAAATTTTGACTGCGTAGCACGTTCCCTACAATACTTGCTTGAAATACTGGGAAATCATCTAATTGGTTCTCCTAAAAGTGATGTGAATCACACCGAACCTCTAATTATGGCCTACAACATGAAGGAACATCGCTACTTGCTCCTCGACAGAGGCGTGGATGCTATCTTTTAGCAACCCCCTCTCCCTAAACGTGTCCACAAGCTTGGTGAAGGGTTTCTTCTCATTAGAAGCATGTTTACAACCTCTACATTCTTATGTTGTAAATGTAGATCAGATTCTCCATCCTTTCCCCATCTTAGGCTAACATTGAACCATATCTGATCACAGACTTAGAATTGCAACTAAGCGTTCTTTTGTGGAACAACATGACTCATGCCTGAATCACAAAAATAAAGTGTTGATGCTTGAACGAGTAACATTATTCATTCATCCTAAAATGATGTTGCGGTAAGTAACGACGAAATTAAACCTACATCTTATATAATGACCTAATAGTGGAGGGTGGTTGTATGGTGCTTACCGCCATTGGAGACTAGACAACCGGCTGCCTATGCCGAAGACGAAGCGGACGAGACGGAGATGGAGATGAGGAGCACGTCGTGGTGCTGGTACAACAAATCTAAGTCGTCACCCTCGCTACCACTGTCGGTACAACATATCTAAGTCGCCGCCGCCATTGCTGAGAACTGATGCTCGATTTGTCCTACCGTTGGAGGTGAGCGAGTAAGGGGGCGGGAGGGTGAGATTGATTTCATGCCATTCCGTGCTTGCAAATTTTTGTCTCTGCTATCTCCATGCCTACACCCGCGGCCCCGTTGCGCTTGTCTCATCCTGACTATACAAAAACGACCGATTGAAGGATTCATAGCAAGTCAGGCTTTTGAGTGCTTAAAGTTCCTGTCGCCTCATGTGCGCAACAGAATGAGATTTATTTTCATCCACTGGACCTATTTGGGGAAGGGAGCTTTGGTCAATCAAACTCGTCCATAATGTATGTAGCCTCCTTGCTGGTAAAACAATTGGACCGGAGACTTCATACATCATTTCAGGCTTTGGCAGGGATAGTTTGAACAACTTGTTTTTTCTTTTTGCGGGGAGATAGTTTGAACAACTTGGACGTTACAATTCCTTTGTCTTATACTTTGGCAAAAGCTTTTGCTACAAGAAGAAATTGTAACGTCCAAGTTGTAGACATGAGACATGGCTACAAGAACAAAACTGCCGGCAAAATGTTCCTCAGATGCTTGCTTCTCGTCGTGCTCCATGCATACGACTTGGTTGCTCGCTCTTATATAACGACCTAATAGTGGAGGGTGGTTGTATGGTGCTTACCGCCATTGGAGACTAGACAACCGGCCGTCTATGCCGAAGACGAAGCGGACGAGACGGAGATGGAGACGAGGAGCACATCGTGGTGCTGGTACAACAGATCTAAGTCCTCACCCTCGCTGCCGCTGCGAGTACAACATATCTAAGTCGCCGTCGCCATTGCCGAGAACTGATGCTCGATTTGTCCTACCGTTGGAGGTGAGCGAGTAGGGAGGGGAGACTGATTTCATGCCATTCCGTGTTGCATATTTTCGTCTCTGCTATCTCCATGCCTACACCCGCGGCCCCTTTGCGCTTGTCTCATCCTGACTATACGAAAATGAAAGATTGGAGGATTCATAGCAAGCGAGGCTCTCGAGTGCTTGAAGTTCCGCACGCATGTAGCTCGTCGCCTCATGTGGGCAACACAATGAGATTTATTTTCATCCACTACACCTATTTAGGGAAGGGAGCTTTGGTCAATCAAACTCGCCCATAACGTATGTAGCCTCCTTGCTTGT